TTCCCAGACAGAGAGGACAGGCTGCCCCCAACCTGTCCCAGGGATTGCCCCAGGCCGGAGCCCAGCCCCCCCAACCAGGAGGCCATGTCTGGATGTTTCACCGGGGAGGAGGTGCGCGGATGAGCGGGCAAAGCTCTCAGGATAGTGCGAGGCTTCACTGGTACGTCCCAGGAGCAGCAGGCCTCATTTCCCGGCACGGCTCTCCCCGGTCACCCGTTCACTTCCTGGACACCTAGCCGCTCTCCGCCAACTCAACGGCCGCCATGACACTAAGCCTCTCTATGGTGGCACCGGAGCGACGTGTCTGTAGCGCGCTGCATGCCGGGACAGCGGGAGGTCCTCCAGGGCCGACGGGTGGGCGGAGCCGGGACGCGTGGCCGGAGCTGTCAGCTGAGCCGGCGGTCTGAAGCATAACAATGTCACGTGACGGAGGAGGGCTGTCACTTCCACCGGAAAGAGGACCTGTCACCGGTCACCCGAGGTGAAGGATGGTGATGACGCAAAGATTATCCCAGGCTGGCCTGAAACGGCTCAGAGCTTAACTGTTGTCACCTCGCACGTCACATTACCAGACACGTCATCGCCTCCATGACACCAGACCACCAACGAATACGTCAACCACACGCCGCACACCATTGTACGAGAATCTGACATCACAGGAAGTAGGGGCGCCATGACAATGAAGCTCCCGACCTATGACCTGTATGTGCTGGTTCCAGGTCAGCAGCTCTGTCCTTCCAGGCTCATGGTCAGCCAGGCAAAGGGGGGTGGTTGTCTACAACGACGGACAAGCTTCGAACCCCCCTCACCCTTTCTGCCTCAAGACCGATGAGCTCGTCTGTCACTCTGCTCTCTCCTCCTTTCAGCATGTTCCTTGTTAGCACATAGGCACTGCAGAGCAACTGATTGGCTCAGCCTGAGCTTCTGCTGTACAGGCACTGCAAGAGGCTGATACCCGGTCACATTCAGGCACAATGCTTTCATGAAAAAAAACAACACAGACACATTTAGGGCTATATTTATAATTAGCAGAGCCATTCACCCTGTGAATCTGTGAACATTCGTTCTGTGTGAATAGAGGCAAAAACAAACTTTATATATGATCTTTTCAGGACAAATGTATTTGTAATACCATATTATGGCCACTAGATGGCGCTTAGTTTCATAGGAAATATATAGATTACACATTGATTTTTGTATTGTAATACCACATTATGGCCACCAGATGAGCCTTGGAACTGCTCTTCATCTCCATCTAGTGGGCATAATGTGGTATTACATTATACTAATCAAGTGTCATCTATTTTCTAAGCTCCACCGCTCCATCCAGTGGCCATAATGTGGTATTACATTACACAAATCAAGTGTAATCAGCTATATATTTCCTATGCAGCTGAGCGCCATCTAGCGGCCATAATGTGGTATTACATTACACAGATTAAAGGAGAACTATGGGGTCAGGGCTTTTCCCCATAGTTCTCCTTAGGGTAACGGGAGGACACAAACTAGCGTCCTCCCGTCACCCTAGGCTCAGTACTGAGACGCCGGAGCGGATCCCGACATCGATGTGATGACACCGACATCCCGACAGCTGCGTGAGTGACAGCTGGCTCTGCCTATCTAGAGGCAGAGCCAGCTGTACCCTCCCCCTCCCCCATCCGTTTCTCCAGTCAGCGCTGGCGGATCGGAGCGGGGAATCCAGCCCCTCCCCTGTCACGGCAAAGAGCCGTGACAGGATCGAGAGGTGAGCGAACACCGGTATGTGTTCGCTCACCTCCCGATCTACTGAGCCGACCTGTGACAGTCTCATTGTCACAGGTCGGCTAGAACTATGAGGTGAGTGGAAAGCCCCTCCCCCTCATAGTTCTCCTTTAGGTCTAATCTATTTCCTATGCCACACAGCGCTATCTTGTGGCCATAATGTGGTATTACAATACAAAAATCAATGTGTAATCTGCTATATATTTCCTATGCTCCTCAGCGCCATCTCGTGGCCATAATGTGGTATTACATTACACTTGTCAAGTGTAATCGATTTGCTATGCCCCACAGCGCCATCTTGTGGCCATAATGTGGTATTACATTACACAGATCATGTGCAATCTGCTACGTGGCCGGTTCTCTGTGATGGAAACATCCGGCGGTCTCACTACATGAAAATAAAGGGGGCGGAGCCTCTCTACTGACCTGGAAACGACTCCGCCCAGACTTCCTCTTTGTATAAAAATATCTCGGGGGATAACTAAATTCCAGGTCATGTGACAGGAAGAGGACTCCAGCCGGCCACCAACTGGCAATGCTTTCTATTGGATCTCCTGGTCACGTGTCTATTGGATTTTTGGATCCTACGCTCCTACCCTACGCTCCGCAGCCTCATCTAGTGGCCGTAACGCAGTATTACATTACAATCCACCTAAAAAGAAAATATACTAAGAATGTTCGTTGTTGCCTCTATTCACACGGAATTAACATTCACAGACATTCGCAGGGTGAACGTCTCTACAAATTGTTTATGAATAGGCTCTTATGATGTCATTATGATGACAAAGCTGCATTATTGTTGCATTTTATACCTGGCCGGAGTTCAGCTTTGCAGGATAATTGGGCATTTTACATCCGTAGTTTTTCACATCTGGAAGACGTTATTCCCGCCCCAGAAGCAGCTCAGTGTCCCCGGAAATGATCTGGAATTGCTCCCAATCTGATCAGATCCCGGACATTCCTCAGCTCAACGTACAGCACTCACAGCCATTGCCACATGTTGAGGCGGAGGAGGTGACACGTGACCAGGAGATCCAATAGAAAGCATTGCCAGTTGGTGGCCGGCTGGAGTCCTCTTCCTGTCACATGACCTGGAATTTAGTTATCCCCCGAGATATTTTTATACAAAGAGGAAGTCTGGGCGGAGTCGTTTCCAGGTCAGTAGAGAGGCTCCGCCCCCTTTATTTTCATGTAGTGAGACCGCCGGATGTTTCCATCACAGAGAACCGGCCACGCACACGATGGCTTCACATAACTGCGGGCCGAGTGCTAAGGGGAGGAGTCAGAAAAGAAAAGAAAAGAAAATGAGCGCCAGTGTGTTACCCGTGGCAACCAATCGTAACTCTTCTTTTATATTCACCATCCGGCAGTCCCGGAACCCTGCGCCCTCTCCTGCCACACTGTGCACCCTCATACTTGTATACAGGTGAATGAAGGTTTTCTCTTTGGTGGTCCTGGAACGGCCTCGGATTCTTATTTAAATGAACGTTCAAGGACAGGAAGCAAAGCGTGCATCCGAAAATTCCTTCCCAGCATCCAGTGGAATATGGAATGATGCGGAGTGCAATAGGGAACATACAGCATGAAATATGGAGTGTACTGGCAGAGATATCTTTATAACCCAATAGAGTGATCCCGCCTCCATTTAAATACTAAAGCGGTGCAGAGCACCCCCGTCCCCAAGTCACCTGGCGCCCCCCTCCCCCCATGTCACATAGCGCCCCCCTCCCACCGGGTACTAATTTTCACATTGTACTTTAAAGTCGTATTAAACAATCAAACTTTTTCCAATAATGAATTCGGATAAAACAAATACACATCAAAGTATTTCTTTACATTTTGTCCCAAACACTTACAGTCATCATGTTTCCAAACAGCTCCGACTCACTCAGCTCGGCTTCCCCGAACCTGCTGTCCAGTACAAGATCAGAAGGGACACAGCAGTCTCCAGCAGCCGTCCATCTACTAGCTTGGGAAAGGGGATAGGGGGGGGGGGGGTTTGGCCTTCCTTGCTGTGTCTGTGCATTTGTGGAGACACACACAGCTTACTAGCGCACACACAAGGGTGGCTCCATAGGACCCTGCAAGGGAAAGGAGCCACCCTAAATCAGGACCAGCTGATTCTGCAGGAAGATAAAACCTTTAAACATCGAGGAGCAACGTCCATTGTAAGCGATTTCATTGGCCTTTGAAAAAGCTCAAATGTCACTTTAAGGGCACAAAGGGCCGTTATTTAGTATATTGCAATCCCCCGTATAGATTATTTATATTATAAACTTATGAATCTTAAAGACACAATGTAACTCCGCCCACCCATATACACCGTACTCACAAGAAGATCCTTTTCTTCCATTGAGGGACACAGCGTTATGATAATAAGCAACCTCGGGTTATACTGCCACCTACAGGAGAAATGGAAACTAGGCACATAGACAAATTAAGACCAGCCCCCTTGAGCCTATAACCCCTCCCACCAGCTCAGCTATAACAAGCAGTCCAAAGACAAGCCGATAGCCAACAAGGAAGGGAGCTGCGTCCTTCAATGGAGAAAAGGGACTTACAGTGAGTACACAAATCCTATCTCCTTCTCGTTCATTGAGGGACACAGCGTGATTATAATAAGCAACCTCGGGTTACACTGCCACCTGCAGGAGACATGGACGCTAGGCTCTTAGAGATTTAAAGACCAGCCCCCTTGAGGCTATAAACCCCTCCCACCTGCTCAGCTGTAACAAACGTAAGCTAATCAGGGAAAGGGAGCTGCGTCCTTCAATGGAGAGAAGGAACTTACGGACCTCCAGCTGTTGCGGAACTACAAGTCCCACGAGGCATTGCAAGACTGACAGTGAAGGGGCATGACTGCCAGAGAAAAGGTGACACCATACCTCAGGGGTAGCCCAACTTTGGCCCCCTCCAGCTGTGATGGAACTACAAATCCCATGAGGCATTGCAAGATTCTCAGAGCCACAGACTCCCGGAGAGAGATGCCTCATGGGATTTGTAGTTTCACCCACAGCTGGAGGGGGCCGGAGTTTGCCCACCACTGCCATATCCTAATTAAAGTGTAGTGTATGCATATAACACCTCCCCTTGTCCCGCCCCCTCCTGACCAACAAGCAACTAACATTGTTGCAGTAGTATCTCTCTTGAGGCTCTAGGACAGGGGTGGCCAAATTCCGGCCCTCCAGCTGTGTGGTGACACTACAAATCCCATGATGCATCTCTCTCCGGCAATCATGTCTGTGGCTGTGAGAATCTTGCAATGCCTCACGGGATTTGTAGTTCCACCGCAGCTGGAGGGCCGGAGTTTGGCTACCCCTGCTCTACGACATCATCGGGAGGTCCTTCTGCTGGTCTATACACCTGAGATTTGTGGGAGGGGCTGGCAGGCTCCTGCAATTGTCACAGCACCCTGCCCCGGATCATCTCTCAAGAGCGTTATGTAAAAAAACAAAACACATCCCCGGGCTCCCTTTAGATGCGTGATGGCCACTGGGTGCTGCAGACTTTAGCTGGGCAGTCTGCTGATCGGTTGCATGGGCAGGCACCTCTAAAGGGGAGGGGCTTCATGACAGGAAATTAAGGCGGGCTG